CGACATCTAAATTTGGCTTAAACATTTAAAAATATATAATATATGCCGTAATTATTTAAAAATGTCATTAAAAATGTTTTGTGTTTCCCTAAGTTATAGCTCTATCTGGTACCACTGTGCTCAGGAGAACAAAATGGCAAAATCAACTGCATAAGGAGTGAAGCTAAAAATTAATGGTCTCTGTGTTCGGAATCTTGGAACAAACTTCCTGCCGGCAACCTGATTTTGCTAGTGTCTCCCCCCAGCCACACACCCAGCCATTGTAGTGTACAGAATTCTATGAGACAACAGTTGATTCAATAAAATCAACAGTCACGGTTGCTAACCCACCATCCTTTGTTGCACACAGGGCCCAGTGGCCATATTAATTTCCTGATGTTTCCCTTTAAAAAGTCTCAGTGACTCTTGGTCAATTACAGTTATCTGGACTTCAGTCTCTTCTTAAATTTTATCTCACCCTGAAACAGACTTTTCAATAGAAGTGTTTAAGAAGACATTCTGCAGCACAAATTAGAGGGTTGTATGGTGCATTTTCACTTTTAATAAGTGATCTGTCTTTTCCTTCTTTTATTCCACTTAGCATTTCTTCTCAAAGGGAAAAACATCCAACAAGAAAAATGTGAAAAAGATGAATGAATGTGACATTTAGAGTCAGATTTTAATGGCACAAAGGCCAAGAATACCAGAGCTACGCCTTTTGCTTTCACAATATAACCTGATGGGATTTTAGGATGTTGTTACTAAAATGAACTTCATTAAAAGAAAGTAAAAAAGGCATGCATTTAAAGAAAATGCGTTATAGTTGAGTTATACTTGTTAAGGCAAACACAGCTTAGTCAATATTTAATTAAGCTTTGTCTTTTTTTCAGAGTTGGCCCCTTGGAGACTATATCCTTATTTCAATTACTGCCGTCTATGCTACAGATGGTTTTGGAAACCCTTTTTGGAATTAAACTTCTGAACCAGTTTATAGGGACAATGAGAAAACCAGCTTTGTTTATGTGGAGTCATACCTTATTAAAACCAAGACCGGCACTTTGCATTGGCAATTGGCATTTCCTGGATCTTATTCACTAACCTGACTTCAAATTACTTCTTATTAAAAAAAAAGAAAACTTACAAAAATCATAAAACATTACATATAAATATATACTGTTTGAATTATTAAAAAAAACATTCACGTTACCATAACGAAGATTTTTTAAAAAATTCCCCAACACTCCAGGATTTCCTTGAACATATTATCCTAATCACACTGTACTTCCTGTCCTTTAGATATAACTGGTAGTCGCTTCTATACTTTTCTGGTCACTTTTGTCACCTATTATAGATCCCTCAATATTATCATTTCATGGTTTGTTTCATTTGCCTTCTTTGGCTCAATATCTTATTTATAAGGTACAAACTATGGCTTGCCCCCCATTTTTATAAAAACAGTTTCATAGAAACACAGCCACTGCTGTCATTTACATACTCCCTATGCTTTTTTTGCATTACAAGGGCAGTGTTGAATAATTACAACAGAGATTGTATGGTTCATACTGCCCACAGTATTTGCCACTTGGCTTTAACAGTCTGCCAGCTCCTGACTTAAATATATTATTTGACTCAGTTTGCTAATATTCTGTTTGAAAAACTTCACAGTGATTTTCATGAGAGACATTGTACTTGTTTTTCTTTTCTTGTAATGTCTTGGTCTAATTTTGGTATCAGGATAATCTTAGCTTCATAAAACGATCTAAGAAGTATTCTTACCTTGTCAATCAATTTACAACTAGTATTATTTCTTCCTTTAAATCTTTAATAGAATTTACCTAGGAAGCCAATCTAGACTATAGTTTTGATTTTGGGGAAATTTTTAACTATGAATTCAGTTCCTTTAAACAGGTATAGAGTTATTCAATTTTAAAATTCTTTATATGTCAGTTTTGGTAATTTCTCATTTATTTTTATTGAATTTATTATGTGTCATTGGTTAATAAAATTATATAGGTTTCAATTATACAGCTTTGTAATACATCATCTGTATGTTGTATTGTGTGTTTACCACCCCAAGTCTAGTCTTCTTCCATTTATCCTCCCTTTACCCTCTTCTATCTCTTCCCACCCCCATGCCCTTTGGTAATCACCCAACTGTTGTCTGTGTCTATGAGTTGTTTTCTTTTTTGCTCTATTCCTTCAGTTCTTTCATCTAGTCCCTCAGCTCCCTTTCCTCTGACAGCTGCCAGTTGGTTCTCTGTATCTGTGAGTCTGTTGCTATTTTGCATGTTAGTTATTTTGTTCATTAGCTTCCACATACAAGTGGAATCATATGGTACTTATCTTTCTCTGGCTTATTTCACTTAGTGTAATGCTCTACAGGTCCATTCATGCTGTCACAAAGGGTAAGATTCCCTTCTTTCACTTAGAGCTGTGTAGTATTCCATTGTGTAAATTTACCCAGCCTTTTTATTCATTCATCTACTGATGGACACTTGGGCTACTTCCAAATTTTGGCTATTAAAAATAAGGCTGCAATGAACAAAGGGGTGCATACATTCTTTTGAATTAGTGTTTTGGGTTTCTCTGGATAAATTCTCAGAAGTGGAATTGTTACATCATAAGGAAGTTCCATTTTTAACTTTTTGAGGTAACTCCACATGGCTTTCCATAGTGGCTTCGCCAATCTGCATTTCCACCAATGCCACAAATGGTTTAGAACAGTAATTTTCAACCACTGTGCTGCAAGAATTTTTAATCCATGCAATACCTGACTACTTAGTCAGTGGCACTGACTTACTTCCTCTTAGATTGTCAAATAAAAAAATGACAACAGTCAGCACAACAATAGCTGTCTGATGTGAATGAATAAAAATTATACCTATTTTTGTCAGATTGGCAATATATATATATATATATATATATATATATATTTTTTTTTTTGGTGTACCATGAAATTTTAGTAATTAGTTTATACGTGTCATAAGATGAAAAGGTCATTTATTGATCCCTAGGCCTCTGTCTCTCTGTCTCTCAGAGTTTTTAATGACAGGTCAACAGCCACCCTCTCCAACACTGCCCTGGTAGTGATTTCAATGTCCAGATATCTCAGTCTTCCACAATCATGGCTTTGTAGTTCCTTGACCTCCTCTCTTCCAAAGATCTTGACCTCCACATCATCTGTCACTTATTCCCATGGTCATACCTGACTCCTTGTCACCACCAATATGTAGCAGGCTAGATATCCCACTCTCCAATCAGCACCTCATATACTTTTAGCTCTCTTACTCTTATGTCCAACTCCAAAACTCCTCTCATACTGGGCCTACAATTTACTGCAATCACTATTCTTCACCGTTCCTCATGCATTTCATGTCCTCACTTTCCTTCTAATTCAGTTAAAATTTAATGGTCAACCATCTTGGTTGTTCTCTTGCCTCTTTCTTGATTTAGCATACTCTCATACTTGATATGGCCTTAATGAAGTCATGTGCCCAAATCTGGGGAGCTGAATGTGGCTGCAGAAAGAATCATCTCTCTTTAAATTCATAAATATTCATCATCTCAGGGGAATCCTACATGCTACCTACCACTCAAAACTCTACTTCCCCAGTCAATTTCCTTACTCTCCTAGATGACTAGTTGATGGCTTCCAGTCTCTCCTCAGACCTTCAACATCTTGCCCTCTTTGCTTCCCATATTACTAAGAAAACAGAAATAATTTGAAAACTCCTAAGAGTTCCCACTACATTTCTACACTTATTTTTACCTCTGTGCATCTACTATGACTCCCTTCTCTTCCTATGAATAAATTGTACCTGTTCCTAGCCAAGGCTACCCACCTATCCAGGCATTACATTTAATCTCTTACCTGATATCACTGATACCTGATATCTCTCTAGTTGATATCACTCCTTGAGTTTTCCCTGTTTCTCCTGCACTTTTCTTGAGTGAGCTGTTCTCATCATTATAAAGATATTGTCACTTTCATATTATTTGAAATCCTACAATCGTGATCCCATTGGCCCATTTAGATATAATTGCATTCTTTTCCTTTTAAAGAAAATTTCTTCAAAGCTTAATTATCTTCACTGCTTTGAATTGCTCTCTTCCCATTCTGACTTCAACCAATTCCAATAAAGCTTTTTCGCCCTCAATGCTTCATGGAATGTATACTTATCAAGGTCAGCGATGAATTTGATGTTGCTAAATTCAATGATTGATTCTCAGTCCTTATCTTACTTGACTTTTTGGACATGAAAGATCAGCTCCACTGTTCCTTAAATCCCTTTCTTGAAAATTTGACTTCCAAGAAACCATATCCTCCTTACTTCTTCCTTGTCTCCAGTTACTCCTCAGTTTCTTTTGCTGACTTAGGTCACTACCCCACCACCACAGTCAGGATACAGAACAGTCCTATCACACCCTAAAACTCCCTCGTGCTACTTCTTTGTCATCACACTCTTCCCCCAACTCCCAACCCCTGGAAACCAAGGATCCATGCTCCATACATAACATTTAAAAAAAATGTTCACTCCTCTTTCATTGGTGAATGATCACACAAAACACATAACCCACCCCCAAAGTAATGCAGAAAACATTTTTAAAACCTCTTCTTTTAGGAGTTTGAGTGAGTTAAAAAACTTAAAACGCTTTTTGTAGAATTTAGACATCAGACTTTCTTAAAGTTGGTTTGACACTAAAACAATTTCTTTAATATTTCTGTGCTTGAGTATGTCATCAGATTGCTGGTGATCTGGGCTGTTTGCTTGTTACTTCTCGGAGCCATAACCTCTACACAGAAGGGCTGGTCATGCATGTTAAGACCATTATTATCAGCAAAGAATAGTTTCTTCCTAGAAACCAGGACGAGAACTCAACTTGAAAAAGCATGTTGAAGATCTCTTTACTATTCACAAATTCTTAGATACCACCCCCCTTCCCCCATCAGAATCAGGGCTACACATCTCTTCAGTAGCCTTTCCCTGTTGCCACCAAAATCTTGTAAGAAGAATGTTTACCTGTGACAACACTGGGGATTTTGGAGAGAAAGCTCTTGACTGTTCTGATGGGCACACCCCCTGTCTTGTCATCTTGCATCTTTGTAATGATGTCTTCAATCTGAAATTAGAGAAAAGAAGGATTATTGTCCCCCACAAAGTAATAGTAAATGGTATCTTCATAAACAGTGACAATGTGGGAACACAGATGCCAACAATAGATATCAGGAAAAGCCTCTGCCTGGTCAGTTAGTAAACCCGGTAGCAGGATCTGCTGCAGACCACGTGCTGTGGGTGGGAGGCTAGGGGTTGTTACAACAGCATAATGCATGGTCTGTAAGAATAACCCACAGTTTCACAAGGTAAGGAGGCAGAAACACATAGGAGTCCTGATAAGCTACAACATGTAACTCAATAAGCACGTGGTGAAATTCCTCCTTTTCTCAAATTAAGTTGACATATGAAGTTGCCATATTCAACCTAAAACCATGTCAATTTCCTATAGTTTCACCTAATACAGTAACACACTGCTGTTAGAAAGTATGGACAGGGCTGCCTTTGGGATCAGAAAAAGACCCAGCCAGAGTCACATAAGAGAAAAAAAAGACTGTAAATCAAGACATGGAAAGCTCCAAAATTGAGAGGCTGGAGGACAAGTCTCAGTGGTTGTGAGTGGTGGTGGTGTGAGGGTGGCCACCCTGAGCCCGGGCTAATGGAGAGCAAGGACAGACTTCTCTCCTTTAGGACTAAGGAAGACCACACTCTCGGGAGAAAGGCCAGGGTGGGCTGTGGTCTGGAGCCAGGTGCAATCTTATTGATGAAACCAGATACGATGAGCCCTGGCCAGGCATCTCTGTCGGTTAGAGCAACATCCCATTATGCCAAGGTTGTGGGTTCAACCCCTGGTCAGGGCAATACAAGAAACAATCAATGAATGCATAAATAAGTGGAACAATAAATTGATGCCTCTCTTTCTTTAAAATTAATAAATAAAAGTTTTAGAAAAGAGAGCAGATACTATGTACATATGTTAGAAACAGAATAGAGAGAGAGAGGGGATGGACTACCAAGGATGTAGGTACCTAAACTGGGAAAATTAGGTACAACCAGTTTGTAGCCAAGAATTTACAAGCTTGGGTAAAAATGTTCAGAATAGGATATAGAAAAATAAGTAACAAGGACACAGGGTTTGTTTGTTTGTTTGTTTGTTTGTGAACTAAAGAGGGGGAGGGTACCTGGAAAGGGGAAAAGATAATGTTTAGTGTCCTCACACATTTTGTTTCCCTGAGCAATAGGATATCTTTGAAACACCAGGATGGGCTTTCTGAGTGCTTCTGTAATAGAGTCACACGATATTAAATCTAGAAATTTAAAGCTGTAGCTTACCTAGTCTAACATACTAGTAATGCAATTTGAGGGTGAGTTTCTCAGTTATATGACTAATAACCTCTTTGAAATAAATAGATAACTTGCTGGAGGCAAGTTGGATATGGCATAACTTAATAATAATAATAGATAAAATATATTAAGAATGTATTATGTGCTAGTTATTGTACATGTAGTGTCCTATTTAATCCTCATAATTACTTATAAACTAGATTGTATTGTTATCCTTATTTTCATATAATGTAACCAAGATTTAATGAGGTGTACCAATCTAGGTTACGATGTGGTAACAAAAACCCTCATAATCACAATGGCTTAATAAAACCAAGACTGTTTCTCTCTCATGCTCCAAGTCTACTGCAGATCACCAGGGACTATGCTAATCATAGTTATTCTGGGACCCAGGCCCACAAAGCTGCCACCATCTTGAATGCTGTTGGTCATTGTGTGAGGGACAAAAGAAAATTCTGGAGAATCTTGCACTGGTTATTAAATGTTATAGCCCAGAAATTATACAGAACATATTTACTCACAATTCTTTGTCCAGAACTAGTTACATGGCACCACCCAACTACAAAGGAGCCAGGGGGTCCAGTTGTCTAGCTACCAGGAGAAAAGAGGAACTGACCACCTGTGAGTAGCATCAGTGACCATCAGAGAGGTTAAACAACCTGCCTGAGGTCATACAGCTGCCCAGCTTTGGATCTGAGTTTGAACCCAGCCATAGACTTGCAGGCTTCCAACCAGTGGGCTGCTCTGCCACCCGGTAAGATCCCCAGAAACCCAGCCAAGCAGGGAGACCATTCTCCCCTGGATATTTCAGGGTTTTTCTGAGAGGTACCACTAGTGAGAGAGAATCTGATGCTTCCAACCCCTTGGGCAGCGGATGGATATATCAGCTAGGAAAGAGGGCCATTCTCTAAAGACCTGCACTCTGTCAGATGACAGGAACAGAAGGATTTCATTCACATTCATGTTAACAGCTTCAGTTGGTGCCCCGCCCTTTGTCTTCTTAACTCAACCCAACGATTTAGAGTAGATTGAGTACTGCTGAGAGTCAAGGGGAGTAATTCCTAGAGGAATGGACATTTTCAAAGTAATCTATGCTTTGATCTAGTATGCTATCTGAAACCCAATGTATGAGTTACATTGCTGCTTTTTATGAAATGGCCCGGAAATCATGGGGAATTGGAGGGAAGCCATTATTTCAATTCAGTGGGAACCCTGACTTGTCATTAGAGGGTAATGATTTCCATTCTGTGCTGATGTGAGCTAGATGGAAAGATGGGCTGTGCACGGGGAGTCCCCGTGATGCTCTCATCCTCGGCTCTATTTTATTGCTTTATCACACCATTAAATCTTTACCATTATTATATAAGTTTCAGGTATATAATATTATAATCCAACATCTGTGTAAACTTACAAAGTGATCACCCAAGACCTATCCTCTTACGCTGGCCCACAATGGGCCGCAAGGTACATCACTCATAGGAGGTCACCGCTAGATCACAAGGACAATCTCCTTAACTGGCTAGAGAGGCGTCGCATCCCAGCAGTAGTTTAGCACATCAAAGGTATAAAAGAATGTTTCATCAGTCCCCAATTCCTGACTCCTCTCTATTATTAATATACATCTAAATCCTGGCTCTGGCTTCATGGAGGGCAGGGTCTGCTCCTTGACTTTTTGGCTCAGTCATGTGACTTTCCTGGTGAGTGGGATGTTATTGAACATCACAGGAACAGAGGCTTTAGTATATCTGCATGATTAGGATTACCTTCACTCTTGCCCTGCTGCACCAGACAGTTGTTATTTCAAGGAAGATGAGAGACATCTGGAAAGGAAGGGACCCACCCCTGTTAGATCGGTCAAACCTCAGCTGCCCTGCAGACTCATGAGCAAGAAATAAGTGCTTCTTGTTATATGCCACTGAGGTTGAGGTGGTTTGCTAGGCAGCAAAATTGTGGCGATGGCTGACTGATACAACAGTGCCCTGAAAAAATGCATTTATTAGAAATTGCTGAGGCCACAAGAAGTACTTGGTAATAAGAATCAGTGAATCTTGATGATATCCTATAATCCAACCCATTTTAAGAATGGGGAAATTCTATCTACATCATTCACTATCTACTAAAAATTCTTAGGGTCTATATACTCCACAGCCCATTCCACTGCTGTGTCGGGCAAATTTGTGGGAGCTGAGTTTGATTTTGGAGTGAGGGCCACCACAACAGCAGCTAATAATACTGTCTCTGAAAATTTTTTGTCATGGTTCCTGGAGAAATGCTAAGAGTATAGACATACCAAAAAATTAAAAGTGAGCTCCCTAGCCCCGGCTGGTGTAGCTCAGTGGATTGAGCGTGGGCCTGTGAACCAAAGGATTGGGATTCAATTCCCAGTCAGGGCATATGCCTGGGTTGTAGGCCAGTTCCCAGCAGGGGACGCATGAGAAGCAACCATACATTGATATTTCTCTCCCTCTCTCCTTCCCTTCCCCTCTAAAGATAAATAAACAAAATCTTTAAAAAAAAAAAGTGAGCTCCCAGGAGACTGCATAAATTACAATGATAAACATTTTCACAACACCTACATTATGATCAATACTGTCTTAGGTATTTTCAATAAATTATCTAATTTATTTCTCACCCTTAAAATTTACTTAGTAAACATGTTGAAATTGAGGCTTAGAAGGATTAAGGGATTTATCCCAGGACACAAGGCTAGTAGGGGGCAACGTTGGGATTCTTTTTCTTTTTTAATTTTCAAATCATTTCTTTATTTTTAAAAAAGATTTTATTTATTTATTTTTAGAGAGAAGGGAAGGGAGGGAGAATGAAAGGGAGAGAAACATCGATGTGAAAGAGAAACATTGGTTGGTTGCCTCTTGTACCTGACCTGAATGGGGATGAAACCTGCAACTCAGGCATGAGCCCTGACCAGGAATCAAACGGACAGCCTTTCACTTTGCAGAATGAAGCCCAACCAACTGAGCAACACCTGTCAGGGCCAAGACCAGGATTCTTGCCTGAGTCTTTCTGACTCCAATGCCCAAGCTCTATCAAATGTAAGATTTATCTTTGCATCCTTAACCAGTGCCTGCTGGCATGCTTTTCAGATATGGGCACTTAATACTGTTTGTATTGAAGAGAAAGTTTAGTTCAGTCCTAAGGGGGTAGAGCAGGAAACAGAAATTGATCCAGATAATCAGATTATTAACCATCTCTGAATTGATTTTGGCTCAATGACTGAGGAGCTCTGCATTCTCTCTTTTTGTCCCAAAGGCTTATCTGGATTTGGATTTATCTGCTACTGATAGATCACATCTTCTGGGTTGGGAGCAGGGAGATGGGAAGTATATACACTTACATTTTCTTGACTGTTCAGGTCTATCTAATTTATGACATCTTTTGTTCCTGAAGAAGAGCAACATCAATACCCTGACATTCTTTAATATGAAGTTCTGTGGCATTTGGGGAGCATGTTGGACCTACATTTCATGGTGCCAATCAATTAGCAGGTGACCCTTATCTGACAGCCAAGCGAAGCAGAGAAACCATGTGGCCAGCTTGGCTGGTTCTGCCTGGATGGGTCACAACAGCCAGCACGCCCTTCTCCAAGGGGCTCAAACCTCCGTGCTGATGTGCAGGTATAACATTTTTCTTAACAGCAGGAAAAATGGAAATCATTATACCATAGGGTAGATTTTCTTTGAAAAGAGGAATACTGTGAGACCATGG